TGACTATCATAATCTAAACATACCTGTTGATAAAGCCATATCCATTTCTGACATTGAACCACTTGACTGTGCCAAGAACTTTAGTGGCTGGAAAGAAAAAGTTAAAGAAGTTACTCTAAAATATAAGAAAGCACAAGAATGTTACAAAAATACCTTTATCTAAGCTCCTGAAGTCAAAACCAGACCTAGTCTGTTACCTTAACACTCAAAGTCTACCTTTATCTCCCTCTTCAGTTTATACTAACACGGGATTGTTTTAAATGATGTTCTTCAGCCAAGAGTTTACCACCCAGCATCTAAAATGAAGTCCAGCTCCATTTTCAGAATTGGGAATCCATCTCCTCTTTTTTCATTTCTTATGCCAGAGATGTGCACTGATGCTGAAAATCATCAGTTCTCTTTAGGTTAGTAACTAGACATTAAATAGAAAGTTGTTTAAAAGTTCTTCTTTCACTCAGTTACTTTTTCTTCCTTCCTTGGAAACCAGAACTGGCCAGCATCACTCTAACTAACAAGACCCCACAAGAAGTTTCTGGGGTGAGTTTATTTTCACTTGTGGTGTTTTGGGGGCTTTTGTGTGTGTGTGGTTTTTTTTCTTGTTGTTTTTTTTTTTTTTTTGTTTAACATTCCTACTTCTAGAGATCTTCTCTGATTTACAAACTGATCACTTTATGTTCCAAGGCTTCTAGGATCAAGACAAGCTCTTGTTTCAACACCAAAACAGCACCTTGCTTAGAAACCAAACTACAGTGTCCTATAGGATGTGGCAAAACCTGTTCCTCCAACATATGGGAGCATGTGGGAGGAACTCAACAGCAATGGAGGTGGTTTAACCTCTCCTTCCCTCTCAGCAACTGGGTGGAGACTACAAACTTTTCAAACCTGTAGGAAAGGGAGAATTTTGGGTCCTAGACTTAATAATGTTACTTATCACACAGCATGACCACAACTAACTAATCTACATAGCACTTATTTGAAAAGGGTCTAGTCACCTACAGATGACTGCTTGTCCTGTTAAAAAAACCCAAACACACTACAAACAGGTACCATCACCTGCTCTACATCTGCATTACTCCCTACACATTCACTAGGAGATGACACAGCTAGACAAGACCTTTGGTCTCATGCAACACTTGTCATTCATGCATAGCCCGCTGACAGACAAGAGAAGCAACCTCTTCCTCCTTTCCCAAATGCAGAACTAAAGCAGGAATGTTTGCTGATAGCAGTCCATTGCAGTAGTGTTGCTGTTATTGAAGGTAATAACAGATCATTACTCACTGCACTTTTAGAAGTGAAGGTTTTGATCTTCTTTAATACTTTTTTAGTAGAAAATGTTTATATTTAGAATCAGCAAAACCATGTTAAGACTGAAACAGTTACTAAAGGGCTCTACCCAGTATAGCACCCATTCCCAACACTGCTTGTTCAAAGAGATCCACTGCCTAGCACTGATGTTTCACACAAGTCTTGAGCATCAACAGATATAGCTGTGCTTTCAGGTTTAGTTTAATGGGGACATCACTACATACACTTATTGCTACCACACAGGCACTGGATACATGCAAGAGCTCATGCACAGTGAAACAGTGGAAGAAGGGCAGGGGGGAAGGCCCAGAAACAGGTGCCAATGGCACATGCAGGTTTTAGCCTGCTTTAAGAAACAAGGCTAATACCACTGATTCCCGCACCACCATCCTTTCCCTCCCCCACAAAATAGCTATTGAATCTGTTGGCCTATTTCAATCAGATTAGGAAGAGGGCGAGAAGCCTAGGAAGCCTGACAAAAACCCTCAGAGTAAGAAAGCTGTCAGAAAGGAAAATAAAACTCACACTATGTGCCCAAATGGCTGCTGCTAAGTGGATGTCCATGCACACAGCTTCAAAGCAACAGTGCTCCTTTTGGACAGTCTGGCAGAGATCAGGGGAGTCTCCAACAGATTCCCTAAAATACTGTTCTGGAGAGATACCATTCCCTACTCACACCAGTTGTAGTCTCCCTCAAGCATCACCTTAAGGGGGAAAAAGAACCTCAAGACACAACAGCATGACACCGAACATCCACGTGGCCACGGTGTAGCCATTGTTAAACCCGAGCCGTCGTATCAGGGAGATGAGGCAAGGAGGAGGGCAAGCCCAGAGGGAGCCATAACCAGTTTTACACATGACTCCGAGAAGGTAGTTGATATGATCCTTCCTATCCCACCAGCAAGTGAAAGCCCACATATTTCTACAAAATGCTGTACTCTGATGCTATCAGGGGAAACAACCTATCCATGTCAAGATAGTCTTTTCATTAGTTTTAACAGAGCAAGCCAAAGCTTCCTGTGGCCAAGAGAGAAGAAAGTTGACTAACCTTTATCCTTATTCCTCAGTCAGACATTTAGATGCCCTGAGCAAGCATTAGAGCTTGTGTCTAAAGGAATATTTGTAATTATATTCACTTCAGTCTCTTCTTAAAAGACCATTAACACGGACATTTGATGTGGACTTGACTATAAGTTTATTTTCAATTAGCATTATCAATGATCATTTTCCTTAGAGCTCCCGATACAAAGCTTGCCTAGTAATAACACCAGTGTGCAAAACCAACACTGGCAGTTTTCTTTCCCCTGCCAGGACAGGAAAGCCATTTGTGCCTCCACTTGCCCCCAGCCCCAAGCAACAGCAACAGGTGAACAAAATAAGAACATTACCAAGAGTGACACAAGCCATGTTAAGGCTAGAAGCAAGACAGACACACTAACAGGTATGACGGGATGTGCCTTGACTGATTACCAACAAATCTGGTAACAGAGCAGGGAAAAACACAAACTGTACCTCCAATTTCTCTTTTGCTTGAATTCCTCCTACCTAAGCTGCAGAGAAACCCTTTACCTGGCTCCTCTGTCTGCTGCAGTAAGATCTCGGCCTTTCAGAAGGGAGATGCTGTCTTTATGAAGCTCAGGACTCTGCACTAGTAGTTAGCCCCAACTTTGCTCTTACTAAAGTCTTACACAGTTATCAACACTAAATCCCTATTTCCACTGCAGACTGAAGTACTGTTCTTTTCAACAGGTTGATCCTGTTTAATCACAACGGAGAAAAACCACTGCATTAGCTATCCGCCAGACTTGGGCACAGAGATGGCAACTTGACATTATGGCTTACCCTTTACTGATAAAGTAACAACTGAAAGAAAAACTGAAAAAAGAAAAAACAACAACCCACCAACACCTCTCCCCCAAAACCAACCACTAAACCTAGAAGCATTACTATAGAAAGCCTCTTCACACATACAGAAGTTGTGCAAAGCCCGAAGGGGGGGGGGTGTCACACAGGGTTTGCCGGCAGCCCCTTCCAGGGGAGATGCCCCAGCAGGACACGGAGCCACCAGCAGGTGCCGGGGAGTCTATCAGCATGGCTGCACTTCACTCGCTATCCCCTCCCAGCACCGGAGCACCGGCGGGAAAACGGACCCCGGCTCTTCTCCAGGGCCGGGCTCGCCGCCGCTGCTGCTGCACACAGGTGCTACCGCCCAACTCGGAGTTGGCGTCCCGGACAGGCGCCGCTCGGCCCCCCCCTAGCCAGGGGGGAAGAGGAGGAGGCACGGCCGCCTACCCCGAGCGCTGCCTGACTCACAGCCGCGGGGGGAGCCGCCGGGGGGAAGCCGGGCTGGGCCCCGGGCGGCGGCCATGTGCCATGGCTTGTGGGCCCCCCCCCCCCGCTCCTGTCGCAGGTGCCCCGGGAAGTTGGGAGCAGGGCCCGCCACTCACCCAGCACTTTCTTCTCCGTCTCGGCCACGGCGGTTGTGGGGGTAGCGGCGGCGGCAGTAGCAGCAGCAGCAGCGCCGGGGGCCGCCTCACCAACAGCCGTGCTCGGCGCGGCGGTGCTGACGGGGCTCTTGGGCTTGACGTCCGGGGCGGCGGGCGACGGCGGCGCAGGGGCTCCGGCCGGGGGAGCGGCGGCTGCGGTCGTGGTGGTGGCCGTGGTGGCCGTGGCGGGTGCCGTGCTGGCGGTGCTGGTCTCGGCCGCCTCGCTCATGGTGGCTGACAGGCGGGCGGTGCGTGGCGGGCGGGTGCGCAGCCGGCGGGTCGGCGTCCCTCGGGCCCGCGCTGGGTCTTACTGCCCCCAAAATGGCCCCGCCGAAGTTTTAACACAGTCAGCGGGGGCTGGCGCCGGCACTCGCGCCGCCTCATTAGCATTTAAAGGGACCGCGCCGACAGCGAGCGGGACTCGAGGCATGGGGAGAGGTTTCTCCGTGGCGGGACGCATGGCATGGCCTGGCATGGCATGGCGATAGATAGGAGGGTGAGTGTCTATGCAGGTACATACTTGGCCGCGTGTGTACACAAGAGTGTGCGGACATGCGTGGGGCCGGAGTGGAACGGAGCTCCGCGCCTGCCCGCCCGTGGGCACACCCCAGCGTGCCCCTGCCGCCGTGCGCACAGGGGGCTCGGAGGGGCTGAGCTGTCGGTCGGGCCCGCACACGCGTGGAGGGACGCGGCTGGGCGGACGTGTTGGTGCGTGGGGCCGCGCAGGCGGGGGGTGTGGGTGCAGGAGTGAGCGTCCTGTGGGGGACAGACGCGTGCTGGTGGTGGGGGATGCATTCGTGGCGTCACTGCTGCGCAGGGCAGTGATCATCCGCCTGTACCGGGCACTGGTGAGGCCACAGCTCGAATCCTGTGTTCAGTTCTGAGCCCCTCACTACCAGAGAGACATTGAGGTGCTGGAGTGGGTCCAGAGAAGGGTAATGGAGCTGGTGAAGGGTCTGGAGAACAAGTGTGATGGGGAACGGCTGAGGAACTGGGGGTCTGTGTGAGTGTGTGTTTAGTCTGGAGAAGAGAAGGCTTGGGGGGGGGGGGACACCTTATCACTCTCTACAACTGCCTGGAAGGAGGATGGAAGCAGGAGATGGCTGGTCTCTGCTCCCAAGGAACAAGTGACAGGACAAGAGAAAACAGCCTCAAGCTGCACCGGGAAGGTTCAGACTGGATATTAGGAAGAACTTCTTCACTGAGAAGGTGCTCAGGCATTGGAACAGGCTGCTCAGGGCAGTGGTGGAGTCACCGTCCCTGGAAGTGTTCACAAACTGTGCAGATGAGCTCCTCAGAGATATGGTTTAGTGGTGCTCTTGCAGTCCTGGGGTAACAGTTCCACTTGATCTTACAGATCTTTTCCAGCCTCGTTGGTTCTATGATTCTTTCCTTGTCACCTTTTCCAAGTTCACACTTTCTCTCCTGTAGCACTCTCCAGTTTGTATCCCCCCCACACCACCTGATTTTCACTCCTGCCATACCACTGCTGCCTCATTTCCTTGACACTGCCAATCACATCTTCCTCACCTGCCTCCCTAACTCTTCTTGCTTTTTACTGCCCTTTCCCCAGTTTTTGTACAGCCTCCCTGGGTGTTCTTCTTTTTGTGCAGTCTTGCACACTAACACCCATCTTTCTTCCATGCTACCATGGCATCACTTTTCCTAATTGCCTCTGCCTTGCATACCCATGTTTCCATATGAGGTGAATGCCTGAACTGAAGCCTCATGCACCCAATCTTCTCTACTTCCTCAAAGTTTTGCTTTGCTTCTCTATATACCTGAGCACTCCAGGAGCATGATCCTGTTTGTTTTTCACTTTGTACCCCCTCCTAATCTCCTCCTCTTGGTAATTCCTCAATAGCTCTCACAACAAGAATAAAGGTCTTTGGAGGGCATCTCTTGCTGAACATTGCTCAGGTAGCAATGCCAGCATCAGCTCCAGAGTGGCCCCAGGTGAAGTGTTCAGTAGGAAAGCACTCCTTAGGGTATGGTTTTAACTGCATAAGGTCTTACCTGCTGGAGCTCCTCAGGAACCTTGAACCTGGGGTTGATAACTCATAGCATCACAGAATGGTTTGTGTTGAAAGGAACCTTAAAGTTTATCTAGTCCCAGGCCTCCTGCCACAGGTTGGAACTAGACCAGGTTGCTCAATATCAGAGCCAAAAGAAAAAGATGCTGCAAAGGTGTAATGTGGACCCACACACAACTGTGCACAAGCTGTGGCTTAGCTACTTTCCAGACTTATAATGAACCAGAAATTCTAGAATTCAAAATGCTTTTGGAGCATTCAGGGGTATTTCTACCCAGGCAGGCATCACTGCCCCCGGTTCATTTACTTACACCATTTCCTAAACCCTGGGTGGGAATTACTATTACAGCTCTCCTCATCACATTGCACTGGACACATGCAAACAAAAAAAATACTTTTGTCCTACAGTTTTTAATCCTCCACTGTTAATTTCACTATTAAAGATTATTTACATTACTGTTATTAATATGAATACTATGCTAATTTTCTTATTTTAAGATTTTGTCACTTTGTGTCCTCTTACATTTTCAGGGTATGTGAACATTTCTAAGAGGATGCTGACTTGAATGAGTTTTGAGAGGAAGATTTATTATGCTGAGTCAAATGCGTTATCAAAATTCAGCCACTGGCATGCAGTTGGGACATCAAATTTATTTTCAATGACATTGTTAATTAATTTTTCTTCCTCAAGCTAATTTTAGACTTTTACTGAAAAGCCCCTTCAACAAAACCCTACAGTGTACAAGCCATTGAAATGTACTGTGTTTGATTCCATTCCTTTGTAGAAAATTGGCAATGTTCTCCTCTTGGGTTTTGTTGGGGTTTTTTTCCAATTATTTTAATAATGAGAAAATGTAAGAATTAGAAAGTAGTTTCATTTTTCCTTTTCTTGCTGACAACTGGTAATACATTTCCTTTCAAACTCTTTTCAAAAATTATGTTGAAAGAAATTAAGCCACCAACTTGGATAATAAAAACATGTAAATCTTGCATGTGAAGATTAATTTCTGTACCTCTACATTTGCTGAATACTTCCTAGCAACTACTTGTAAATAACTATTTTATACAGTTTAGAACAGTACAGAGTCACAGATTGGTTGAGGTTGGATGGGACCTCTTGAGGTCATCTGGGTCCAACCCCCTGCTCAAGCAGGCCCACCTACAGCTGGTTGCCCAGGTCCATGTCCTGGCAGCTTTTGAGTATCTCCAAGGGTGGAGACTCCAAACCCTCTCTTTACTGTGAGTTCACCTCACTGTAAGAAAAGTGTTTCTCAATGCTCATAGCAAGCATTTTGTGTTCCAGTTTGCATCCATTGCCTCTGGTCTTGTATTCCCTGACCTAATCCTCTTCCACCAAGGGTACATTTTCCTTGCTCCAGACTTTCCCTCTGATCTCAGGGACCTGGGATTCCTGGAGGCTGGTCTTGCTAGTAAAGACTGAAGCAAAGGTGGATTCAGTACCTCAGCTTTTTCCACATCCTGTGCCACCACATCCAGATCTCTGGTCTCATGCAGCAGTAGGCTCACATTTTCCCTAGTCTTCCTTTTGTCACCTATTACTTGCAGAAACCCTCCTTGTTGCCTTTGACACCCCCCACCAGATTCAATTCCACTTGGGCTTTGGCTTTCCTAACCTCACCTGTGTGTGCTCGGGCAGGGTGTCTATATTCTTCCCAAGTTAGGCACCCTTGCTTCCACCCTCTGTATGCTTCCTTTTTAAGTTTGAATGGGCTTCCCTTTTTGTGGGCCAGGAGTTGCTTTTGCCTGATTTCCTGCTCATCAGAATGGACAACACTTGAGCTTGGAGGAAGAGATTGCTGAATGTTGATCAGCTTTCTTGGGCCCATCTTTCCTCCTACAGAGCGGTATCCCATGGGTCTCTCTTGAGCAAACCTTTGAAGAGGCCAAAGTCTGTTGTCTCTGGAGCTTTTTGTCCTTCATTTTGTCAGGATCTCATGGTCACTGCAGCAAAGGCTGCTTTCAACCTTCACGTTCCCAGTGAGTCCTTCCTGGTGACTCTGCTTCCCACATCATTCTTACTATAAAGCCCTTCTTTACCTGGTCAGCCATCCTGCTGGCAAGGATGCCTTTGTCTTGCTTAAATGAAGTGGATCCCATCCCTCCCAAACAGATGCTGATCCTCAAAAGAAGTCCCCTGTCATAGAAACCAAAACCCTGTCACTGACACCAGCTCCTCAACCAGTTGACACACAGTTGTTTCCTCCTCACCTCCTTTCCCCTGATCAGCAGGGCTGAGGGGAAACCACATCCTTCTGACCTTGCAGGAATACAGGAAATAGCAATCTAATACACTAAGTTGCTCATAACTTAGCCAAAGTGATAGCTTGGACTGAAATTTGTACTTCTCGTTTGAAAAGTTCAGCTAAAGATGCTAAAGTCCTGACAGTGACACTTCCCTCATTTGAATTTGGTTTAGGACTTGTCTTTATGAGTTACAGTGACTCTGTGCTTTTGAGTGGAAAGTTGAAATTTAGCTGTGATAGAGGTGCATGTTTTACAGTTCCTATTGGTAGATGCACAAAAAAGCACCCCTCAAAACTACTAGAAATCAAATTTCACCAAATAACGAACTTCTGAAAAGACATCTTTAGTACATGGTCAATAGAGAAATGATCTGAAGGTGCCATCTGGAGGTGTGCCAAGCATGCTTCAGTTCCTCCTTGCTGCTTGAACCCCATGTCTGTCACTCCTGCACAAGCACCATGGGACACTCCAGCTGGGGACCGCCAAGCAGGTCAGCCTTGCAACTGAAATTCCTCTGTGTGACTGTGGCATCAGTAATCAGCATTTGGAGAGGACTATCTTGGTGGTGCTCTTCTGTGTGCTTCCTGCTGCCCAAGTTGTAACAAGGACAGGAAGCAGAGTATGGCTGAGGAGCATGGGCTACACAGAATGCAAGACCAGGGACTGAAACATCCAGGGTGAAGACACTTGTCAGAAGAGGAGAGGCATTGGAACAGGCTGCCCAGGGAAGCAGTGGAACCACCATCCCTGGAAGTGTTCAAAATCCATGTAGATGAGGCTCTTAGTAATATGGTTTAGTGGGGTAACAGTTGGACTTTATGATCTTGAAGATCTTTTCCAAGCTAGTTGATTCTGTGATTCTAAATACTGAAGGCAGAAGCCAGGAGAAAACTGTGGCTGTAAGAGAGCAGGAAGCCCTGGTGATGGGTGTTTATACCCCTCTGATACATACTCCATGGGCTTTGCCTTTTGCTGCTTCCACCCAAGTGGAAGATATTCAAGCTGAAGCCCTGGAGAGCTAGACCTGCTTCTCCCTTGTGTTAGTTACAGTGGCTGCGTGGGACAACAGTGCTATTCCCCAGAATGGGGTTTGTTGCTGTTTTACTTTTGGAAGAGAACTGAAACCCAACAACAAAAGACAGTAAAGGTGCAAATCTAGTCAAGGAAAAGTTAAGAACCACTAAGAATGCGATTACTTGTAATCTTGAAGTTCAGCCCCCTTAAGCATAGGGACAATTATCTATTTCTTAATTAGATGATCACATATTCCTCTTCCCACAGGATCCTTTCATTTTTCAGCAAATGAGCTGGTTTTCAATAGTCCCTTTCATCCTCCTCACTTGATGTGCAGCTCAAGCTATGATTTATTAATGCATGTTGCATAACCCTCGGACTAGATGCGTAATTATTAATTCCCTTCTTTCTTCAGGATCCTATGGGGCTTTTACCTCTGTGTACCCATGGATCAAAAATATTGATAAATTTGTTTTATCCAGCATCATGTGCAAAGAGCTGGGATTATCATCTGCATTCTGGGAATGGGGAACAAAGGCAGAAAAAGAGCTACTCCTTTCAAGTATCTGCTCGTTCTGGGTAGCTGCCTTGAACACACATGCACTTTTTTTCCAGATAACCTGCTGTTTTTACAAGTTGGGTAGGAAATGGAACACTTGCATGAGGCTGGGACATATGGCGTGGGAGCTATTTTATGGGGCTATTTTATGTTCCTGGCTTCTGGGGATTCCCGAGAAGGACTTTTCATCAGGGACTGTAGCAATAGGACAATGGGTGGTGGGTTCAAACTTAAAGAGGGGAAGTTCAGGTTAGATATAAGGAAGAAGTTCGTTACTGTTAGGGTGGTGAGGTACTGGAACAGGCTGCCCAAACAAGTGGTAAATGCTCCATCCCTGGCAGTGTTCAAAGCCAGGTTGGACAGAGCGTTGGGTGACATGGTTTAGTGTGAGGTGTCCCTGCCCATGGCAGGGGGGTTGCAACTGGATGATCTTAAGGTCCTTTCCAACCCTAACCATTCTATGAATTTCTGTTGGTGGACTGACATCTATGAAGTTTTCATCAGATCCCAAGTGTGCCAAAAACTGGGTAGCTGACTCGGCTTAAATATATTGCTGTACTACTGTGCAAATATGACTTTTAATGAAGAAACTGAGGAATGAGTTAAGCATGTGCTTTCCAGCACTGTTGGGCTCAGTATCCTGCTGCACGTTATGTGGCAGAAGTGAGTCAGCCTTCTCCATTCCTGTTTTCT